ATTACAGATTCATAGAATTTGCAAAAATCGTACCTGGAGACCTAGTGTACTCTTTACCCAGTTTCCCCCAGTGGTTACATCATATGTAAACTATAGCACAATAGCAAAACCAGATGTTGACGCTGGTACAGTGTGTGTGTGTGTGTGTGTGTGTGTGTGTGGTTTTGTGCCTTTTTGTCGCCCGTGTGGATTTCTGTAACCACAGTCAAGATACGTAACGATGCCATTACCAGATCTCCTCTGTGCTACCTTTTGCAGTCAAACTTCCCTCCCTCTCAACTCGTTCCTAACCCCTGGCGATCACTAATCTTTTTCCCAATTTCAGGAATGTTACTGTTTTGGTTCCCTAGTGCCACTCTGACAGGAATATACCACCAATAGGATGGCCTTAACAAACAGGAGTTTATTCTCTTACAGTTTGGAGGCTTTAAGTCTGAGTTCAAAGTACCAGGCTCTAGGGGCTGGGTGAAAGCCCCTCAACTTTGGGCTTCAACTCTGCCTCCTGCTGCCGGCCCACTGGAGCTAGAAGCATTTCTTCATTCAGACAGCTGTTGACTGCTGAGACTGAGAAGTCCCAAGGTTGACAAATAAAAAGGCACAGTCCTGATGTTACCATACAACATGGCAGGCCATTGATTCAAGTCCATTGAAAGTCCCAAGGTCGGCAGAGCACGGCAGGCTGCTGAACAACAATACGGCTACATGCAGGGTTCAAGCATGCCATAAGCTAGAAAACATTCCCAAAGCTGCTGCTTATATATGGAAAGCAGACCATCTCCCTAAAGCAGCTACTCAGCTGCTCACAGTAGATTCAGATTCCACCATGGAGTTGATGACCAGTCTCATCATGGGGAATCCTACATCCAGCTGCCCAGCCACTCAGCCAGGCCCAGCCAAGTTGACACACACAACCTTAACTACCACAGTTATATAACTGGAATCGTACAATATGTGAGCTTTGGAAATGGTTTTTTCCTCTCAGCCTAAAGGCCTTTGAGACCCACCCAAACTGTTGCGTCTGTCAATAGCTTATTCCATTTTATTACCGAGTATTTTTTTCTGGTATAGATGCACCCTCGTTTATTCAAGCATTCACCTATGGAAGGATACTGTGATTGTTTCTAGTTTGGGCTATTATAAATAAAAGGTGCTTTGAACGTTCATGAACAGCTTTCCAAATCAACAGTTTCCATTTCTCTGTAGGAGATGCCCAGGAGTGCCGTTATTGGGTCAGGTAGTAGACGGCATGTCACCAAAAAACCAAACTCACTGCCGTCGAGTCAGACCTGAGTCATAGCGGCCCCTCCTTGGGTTTCCGAGGTGGTATCACTACGGAGGTAGATTGCCCAACCTTCCCTCTGAGGAGTGGCTGGTGGGTTTGAACCACCAATCTTCTGGTTAGCAGTCAAGTGCCTTAGGCACTACAGGGTTTTCTTTAGTATTACATTATATAGACATACATAACTCATCACAGTCTATTGATGTTGACATTTTACCGGTTCAAGTGAGGTGTAGAAACCTTCCCTCCCTTTAAAGTCCCTTTACCTTCCCTGTTTCTAATTATCCTGAGTGTGTCTTCAGTAGACATTGAGAACCACGACAGACAGTATTATAATTTTT